CTTTGTCAGTAGTTTACAATAATTGGGAAGTTTAGTTTTGGACATAAACAGTAATTGAAAGCTTATTTTGCAATCTTTCGAAAACATCTGTTTCCTTTGTCAAGAAAAGAATGCAAAATCACTGTGAGCTATTTTGCACTCTTTTCTTTACAAAGGAGACAGACGTTTTCAGAAGCTTGCAAAATAAGCTTCCAATTACTGTTCGTGTCCAAAACTAAACTTCCCAATTATTGTAAACTACTGTATTCTTGAATATTAATAAGCACCTGTTAAGATATCGAATGACAAAAAAAAGAAAACAGGAAATAGTCGGCCGAAGCCTCTAGTGTGATTATGTAGTACACATACCTGCCAACATTTTTGAAACGTCCATGGGGAGATTCTGCATGATCAAAATTAAAACATAAATAAAATATGTGTGTACGTATACACCCCCTAGAGACAAAATAACCCCTTAACATTACGTAGTTAGAGTTGTTCTTTCAGATGAAACCATAAGATCTTAGAATATAGGAACAGTTAAGCAAATTCACTGGTTAAAAACACTCAAGTTAAGGGTCCAAAATCGGGAGTCTCTCTCCTAAATAGGGAGGGTTGGCAAGAACGAGTAAAGAGCACACAGGTACAATGTAAATCTATAGCAATATTGTGGAAACAAATATAAAACAAGCAATTCAGATTGACATGTCTCGCCTATGCCCTGCTTTGACCAGCAATGCACATATCAGAGAAACTAACTTAAACGCAAAAACTTAACGAGTTAATGTTGATGGAGATACTGACAAAGTCAATGGACCATAAAAGGTAGGCAGCATCCAGCATTTGCTGCATGGGTTGCAATGTACTACCCAAGACCCAAAGGCTCTTTAAAAAAGACTAGTTGGGAACCTGATTGGCCTAGTGCATAAAGAGGCTGATCTTTTTCCGTTCTGGTCTTAAAGCTAAACTGAAGTGGCTCTAGTACGCCTGTATTACTACTACAATGTAAACAAGTCGGACATACTTCTTGCCAATGGATTGAACTGACATGAATTATGCTTGCCACAGGCCATCCTAGGGCCTTTTTCATAGAAAGTAACCTGAGAAAGGAAAGGGAACTGGAAGTTCATCTCAACTTGATCCTACACAGTAAAACCTTCATGTAATGCCCCTCTTTTAATTTGCCATCTTATTTACTGCCGACATATTACAATGTCCCTTATTTATTTCATTTATACAATATTGAATTCTTCAATATACCAATAGGCTTTTCATACAGATAATTATACATCCTTACACTTTCTAACACTACAAATCAAATCATCATTCATTCCCCCCCCCCCCCCCCCCCCCCCATGTTAAATTCATCCTATTGTGCAATTTAGCAAAACCAGAACTAGGCAAGAATAGTTACAAATACAGTATTTTACCGCAAATAAGCCCCCGCCCATAGTGAAAAAAGATTGATCAAAAGTAGGGAGGGGGCTTAATTGCAAGTATCTCTCATGCTCACAAATCTCTGCCATCTTGGACATATACCACTATTTTGATCTATGAAAACACTACCAGGGACGTAACCAGGCGTACGCACGGACGCACGGGCTTCCACGTAATTTTTTCAAGTATACTTTTAACAAGGATCACATTGTAGAACTTTATGTGATAAACTTTAACAACTCATATAATCCTGGGCCCTCAGTNCCCCCCAAACTCAGGAGGGGGTAACCCCCCTCCCGAACCCACCCCCTACTCCGGGCTTCGTATGCTTCCACATACTCATAGTCCTGGTTACGTCCCTGACTACATATGATGTTCTTATAGTTGTTTAGGTTGTAAGAATGTTTGCATCCAGTCAGCTAATTTCCTATGTTCAGAGACAAAAGTTACCATACATTAAAGGAAGAGATAAAAGGTGTGCTTAATAGCGTGTTGGGTCTTAATTGCAGGCAAATACAGTAACTGCATACATTAATATACACTGTTTACTGAGCTAAATATCAAAATCAGTTGGCTTAATATCAGGCACTGGTAATAAACAGTGAGCACCAATACAGAATGACTGTTTGTCAAGTCTCTACAGAACATATATCAATTGAGAAATGCCTTTAATATACTTTGAACATCTTCTTCCTTATAATTTTTCACAACAAAAGATGATGAACCGTTGACTGCTCCCGCTATCATGGCCGACAAACCTGGAATAAAAATCAGTTATTTAGTTTACATTATTTGATTGAGAAACAGACATAATCAGAGTAAGTCATGTGACTCTGATTTATGTTGGTATAGATCATAGGGTTGTCAAACCGACGAATTTCAGTAACCGGTTACTCGAAAAATCTTCCGTCTGAATAACCCGGTGCAACAACAATAAGTATTACATTGTGCATTTAGCATATTTTCCCATTTCCTAACTTCGCATTCTAGCTTCCTGTTCAGGCTTTTTATTGTGTGGTTGGCATCTCTTTGTCATTGCATACTATTAAGTACAAAACAACACCCTAATGTATGTGCCTGAGTGTTGTTTTTAGTGCCAAAAAATCTGATTTCGGTCTCACCAATAGAGAATTTATAGGTACATGTAATTCCCTGTAGGGATAAAAACATGTCCAACTATTCGGTTATTGACTTTCGTAACCAGTTCGCTGTCTTCCGACCATGAAACTGGTTAACCATCGACAACCCTAATAAATCATCAAATGTTTGATACCTGATTTCTCATAGAAAATATGACTTGATATCTTTGACCTAGGACATTTATGTTACAATTAATAGTGAACAGTTTTGTCCAAAATCTTATTTTGTGTATCTTTGGGAAAATTAATCCAGCATTCAAAGATTATGTGACTGGTCAACATTAACCAAAATTACCAATTATAAAACTTACGGTAAATTCCAGGTATTACTTACTTTTGCCTGAATCAGGGCGAAACATACAGAGTATCCTCTTGTTCAATGTGATCGCTCGTCCGATCTCGTAACCGACTCCAAGAGAAGGTTGTGTTACTTCTGCTACCAACACTGTGAAAGGAAAGGTTAATTTAGCTGATCGTAACAGATATCAATTTATCATTATCCTTAATTGTTAATGGATGGGTGCATTCTCGATACTCCAGGGGTTATGCTCACTTACGCCCTCTGCATCCCTGGAGTATGTCATAGCAAAATCGAGGGTTCTGTGTATGTCCCATCTTGAGGATAATACAAGTTGACTAGTCTGATCCTTTGAATAATCGTGCGATGGCGTAACAGCAAATTTGACTGGTGTTGCTCCTCTGTAATCTTTGAAGGACAGGTATCAGCCGTGAGATTGGTCATGTCATATTCCAAGGGTGCAGAGAGCTTAAATGAGTGCAACCCATGTAGTATCAAGGATGGGTTGGTAAGGAAATAATGAAACACAGAACTTGTTTTGGTTTTATGAAAGTACGTTTTAATATTAGTTTCCAAATTGACCAGGAGAGTTTAAATCTTAACAAACTAAAATTATCAGGGTACACAGCTAAATTCATCTCAATGTTCAAAATTGATTTCAAACATTTAAATTGTAACACAAATACATTCAAATATAATTCTCAAAGACCATTAAAATTAACTGGTTACGCAAGTCAGGAGTTAGACTAGAGTTTTAACGTTGAAGTGAAACATTTCTAGCCCCATTCAATGTTTTGGGGTTCTTTTTCTGGAATAAAAAGCTATTATAGTTATTTAGGAATTAATTCTTCTATAACATATACTAGTAGACAAGAATTAAGTTTTCAACAAAGAAAACATCAATTTACCATCACAGTCATTTAGCCAGGTCATATCCCGGTCATGAATCTCCTTTTCTGTCATGTGTTTTTCGCCTGCTGAAACAATATAATTTTAATAACATTAAAATAATATTTTAAGGATTAAAATTACATCTGCTGTACCTGTGTTTTACTTCCTAAGAACTACAAGATCAGCTTTACCTATTACAATGATAGAACGGGTCCATAAATCTCTCTAGCAATATTTTGGCATAACATATATGTCACAGAGGTCATTATTTTTTCAATGCCTCTGCTAGGAGTCGAACCCGGGACCTCTGCCTTACTACTCTTATGCTCTACCGAATGAGCTAAAGAGAAATTGTTTTACCAGGGTGACGTAGTCCCCCTCCAGGAAAGAACTTGTCTCAAGTTTTCCAGGGGTCATAGCGATTCCTTTGCAAGTATACGTATCGCTTAGTATTTTTGTCAAATCTCCCGGGTCCCTACATGGGCGCCAATGTAACAGAGGTCATTATTTTTTCAATGCCTCCGCTAGGAGTCAAACCCTGGTATAATCAGAATAAATACAAACTTCAGTTTAAATTTCTTTCGAATCGTGTGTGATGTTGAAGTATCTAGTTCAATATTGGAATTTGCAATGTAAATTCAAGTTTTATCTACTGGACTAAGAATCTACTTTCATACACCTTAACTTCATAATTTAGAGTAAATCTATTGTGTACCTACATGTTAAGCTCATAACAATTAATGGCAAGGTAACATTTTAGGATGATGATCAGCAGAAATTTACAAAAACAACTTAAGATAGATTAATTATGGAATTTCACAATCAATAGTCGGAACAACACTAGTTATATTAACTCATTCACCCCTGAAATTTAATAATGAACTATTCCAACCTTTGAATTGGAAGAGTTCAGAAGTGTCTACAGCGGTGAATGAGTTAAGGCCAATACCATAATTTGTGGTGCCATTTTCCCAGCCTATTCTACCAGCGATAAACAACAAAATCATACATATACACATACATGTATATGTATCTGCTACCATAGTGATTTTTGAAAGTCAAGAGTAACTTAGAGCACCATTTGTATCTGGTGTGATGTATCAATTAAGGCACTAGGGGATATAACAAGAGATCCCAGAGGGATCTTGGCGCCCACCTTTGTACCATCTTCATTAGTTCTTTGTCAGTTCGATCTTTTCTCTTCTTTCCTCTAATCTGTTTGATCGAGTCATGTTAACAGTAAATGCACCTTGAGGTAACTTTTGATCTAAACTTAATACTGATGTGTATGAAAGCCAACCTTCAAAGTGAGTTTGTCATTTCACATATTTACTAGTACAGTACTTAATGTGAAAGAAATAGAATCGATCATTGCAATATGAGAAAGATCTGTTTAGTTCTTCTTTTAATCCATTTTGTTTTTATGATCAGTCTCAAAATATAACATACACAACGAGGGATCAAGGGGAACCTACATTTAAAATTTGAGAAAGATCCCTCCCGTACTTCCCGAGAAATAGCGATAACAAACTTTCACTATCAAAATCCAAGATGGCTGCCTGTCGGCCATGTTGTTTATCCGATCAGTCTCTAAAATTGCCCTGCACAGCTAGGACCAAGGGGAACCTACATATAAAATTTGAGAAAGATCCCTCTAGTACTTCTTGAGAAATAGCGATAACAAACTTTCACTATCAAAATCCAAGATGGCTGCCTGTCGGCCATGTTGTTTATCCGATCAGTCTCAAAAGTTGCCCTGCACAGCTAAGGACCAAGGGGAACCTGCATATAAAATTTGAGAAAGATCCCTCTGGTACTTCTTGAGAAATACCGATAACAAAGAATTGTTTACGGACGGACGACGGACGACGGACAACGGACGGACCACGGACGCAGGGTGATTTGAATAGCCCACCATTAGATGATGGTGGGCTAAAAATGCCAATTCAGTTCAATTAATTGAGTCGAAACTTTCAAAAATCTTTTTAGGGCAACTAACTAATAGATGAGACTCACATTCCTCCAAGGTTTTTGCACCAACATGTTCTGTTAGTACAGTACCATAGGCCTGCAGTTGTTTTATTATTCTCAAGTACAGCTCTGCGTCTTGACGACCACCACGAATACTGCCAGCAAAATAGATCTTCATCTTCAATTCTGTTAAAGAAATAGAAATTGATAAAAACTCAAATATTTAGAGAAGAAAAAGTTTTTGTCATGATTTATTTTGCTGTAAATATGCTTTTCTCTAAAATGTTGGAAGCAATACAAACATTTTTTGATGAATATTTTTTGATGAATATAAGGCCAAACAAAATATATTTGGTTTTTCTGGTAACCCATGGCCACCTACCTTAATTTTGTGTGCCTTCCTTAAAAATTTTAAGGCAATTTTCACAGAAGCACGGTTTAAGTCAAGATCACTCTCCAATATAAACCATATAAAATTGTTTGTTGCAATAACGTGTTACCTACCCAGTACCCATGAATATGGGTCAATCCCATCTCCAATTTTGACATTATTTTCCCCTATTTCAGCTTTATTTTCCCCTATTTCAGTTCAAATTTCCCCAACTTGTAACTAAAATACTACCACATATATATCTATCTTGGTTCCATTTTTTTTTTTATTTCCCATCAGTTCCACAACTGAGTGATTTATTTAATTTTCTCTGTGTTGATGTTAAATGTCAGTGGTGATATTTTATAATCTATAAGGAACAGTGAGAAACAAAAATTAAAGATGTAATCCTAAAATCATAATCGATAATCGGTTTGTAATCGGAAGTAGTAAACCGATCATTGAATACCTGAATACCCAAATAAAGTGTGAACACTACCCTATAACATCAATAAATAGAGTTATTAACTATACACTACCCTATAACATCAATAGACAGAGTTATTAACTATACGCTAGGTTTCGTTCTTTTATAATGAATGGATTTCAAGCAGTTTTTATCAATAATATAATAAAAGTCATAAGAATATATGGCTATTAATACATTTTTTATATCGAAAACATTAAACTTTGATTACAATGAAGAATCAATTATATTGATAATAGAATTTGTAATCAATAATCGTAATCGGAAAGGTCAAACCGATCTATTTTCAATTATAATTGATCATCAGCCCTGCACATCACTAATGTACACTACCCAGTGATACAATTTATATTGACAATTAACTACACAGGAGTACAGGGGAACCCTAACTTATACAGCTAGGCCAACACTTAATCAGCTTGGTCACTATTTTAATACCTGTCTTGAATTTGTATGTACTTTGTAGTGATCCTCCCACTTCCACTGCCAGAGTAATGAGAGAGAGCTTATCATCTGGTGGAACCTCTATTTGTATACCTAGCCAACTAATGAAATGCCTTCTTTTATTAACCAACCAAAACTACTCTGACAAAAGAAATAACCAAAGCAAGTCCATCATATAGAACATTTTTTTAATACTGTATAATTAACAAAGAATCAATTACTTCACTGTTATCAATTTGATCTTAACTTTACATATATGCAACTAAAATGATAATAAATGATAAAATATTGAAAGAAAAAAACATTTTAAATGCAATAGTTGCGAATAACTTTTGTTATTCACTTTTGAAATGGTAAATATTTAAATATATAAACAAATTTTAAAACAAATTTTACTACAGATTATTAAAAGATATCATATTCTTTATTATAAATTGTTTTCCACCTTTTTAAGGAATAACACAACTGCGTAATATTAAATGTCTTTTTCTTCTGCTCATTCTGCTGTTTTGTCCAGAGATAAGGTTTATTGGCCACCATTTCCGTCATTTTTTAGTGTCATCCGGAAATCGGTTTTTATATTGCAATCTCCCAAATTAAAAGTCATGAGGCCAAGAGCTCATCTAACACTATTTCTGGAATAAAACAGCGAATGTTCACCTTTTTAACGAAAATCGTCCGTAATTGTCAAATTACAAACACATGATATAGCCCTGTAAAAGGACAGTGCCTAACATCCTAACACGGTTTCCCGCCAAAACGTAGTTAGCGTATAACATTACTCGCCGCAATAGCGAACTGAAAATATATGGAAAACCAGCTATGTAATGCATGTGATGACTACAATTTCCATATGTATGAAGTCTCGGGGATAATTCGAGGCCTGTGATGTACTTGTCATGCCTTTCACACTTACCTTAAATAGACATGTACACTACCTGCACACTTTCAGTTTATCGACATGTGGCGCGAAACTAACGTATTACACGAAACCAGGTGTGGTATATCCGGATCATAAGCTCCCACCATTCAGTTAGGAAGCACGACATCTGATTGAAAAATCTCGTTTGAACATAGGGAAATCGTTCCTATCTTACTCTTAAAGTGGGGAAGATATATTATTCCACAACCGCTCTGTGTTTATTCAAGCTAGCATTATTAAGGAACCCCGTCCAGCTACCGTCGGAAAACTATAACAGCATGATCATGCATGATCACTCACAGGATTTTTAGCTTGGATAAATCAATTCGGAAAATAACGTACCTTGCCGGGGTTTTTAAGTGAAAAATAATAAATGTGAAAAAAAATAACAACAGGGTTCTGTCAGAGACGTATTATACGTCTCTGGTTCTGAGTGTAAAAATTCAGCGGGACTACATCGGGATTCGAACCCTGGACCTGAGATTGTTATTCTATCACTCTAGTCTTTAGAACTGACTGAGTAACATGGCCACCTATTGCCTTACTAAACTGTGCTACATTAATTAAGAGGCGGTCATTGTAAATACTAGTCCAGTTCTATACTGGGACAGTGATCCTTAAGTCAGCTATATCAAGTCATTAAGAATAAATTATATCGACAGGGGTTCATATATGGAGAGATTTTCAGCAAACGCTGTTGTAACGCGACTTTGAATGTGTAGAGGCTATTATGACTGACTGACATGTAGATAATCTAATTCATGGTCAGCCGATAACATAACAATTATAACAGTATGATAGAAGATTTCATCAACGTGCACAGAGAGGAAATTTTGAGTAATAAATATATCATTTTGTAAAACATACTGAAATACCATATCAATGGAATGCTGGAAATGATAACAAAGCGTAATCAGAACTCAAAATGGACGTAACTGGGGTAGACCAGAGACGTATGGTAGAATAACAATAAAGAGAAATATGTATATGGGTGCCATTGGAAAATTACCAGGAGAATATAAGCAGGGACGTTTTCGTGTATCGCGATCCAAACTGTTGAAACGGTTGGACCAGAGTTGTTCGTTTATAAAATAATGTCGGACCCAGTATGATGCTGCTTTCAGACGAGCCTTGACAAAATGTAACATTCCGCATCAACGACCAGACGCCAGGTGTTCAAGCTAAATCTAGGTCAAATCCAAGAAATTAACGCCCTCAAAGTGATAAGCGTGGTAGCGAAAATGAAATCACAAGGCACAATAACTAATCAGAAATCCAAAAGGATAGATTACTTCTCAATGAGATCATGATGACAATAATAAAAACTTGCCCATGCATGTATATTCTTCAACTTTATCTCCTGTGTTAAAAGTCGTCGACATCTGTCGCGTTAAAAGATTGGTAAATAAATTACCATACAATATATATAGAGCATAATACAATACGCAAAAAAATTAAAACATTATAAAATACAACATAATATATATATGTAAATACAATATACATAAAACATAATAAAATACACAAAAAATATAATGCAGTACAAATTATCTATACTACACATAAAATATATAAAACAGTATGCATAAAATATGAAACAATATACATAAGCGCAATATACATAACATATGATACAACATATTTAAGTGTATGAAACAGTATACATAGAATGTCAATCAATATACATAAATACAATAAACATTAAATGTGAATCAATATACATAAATACAAAAAACATAAAATACACATTAAATATAAGACAGTATACATACAGCACAGGACAATATACATAAATACAATGAACATGAAATACAGGACAATATACATAAATGCAATAAACATATAGTACATGAAAATATACATAAATACAATAAACATAAAGTACAGGACAATATACATAAATACACTATACATAAAATACAGGACAATATACATTAATACAATAAACATGAAATACAGGACAATATACATAAATACAATAAACATAAAATACAAGACCATATACATTAATACAATAAACATAAAATACAGGACAATATACATAAATACAATAAACATAAAGTACAGGACAATATACATAAATACAATAAACATAAAGTACAGGACAATATACATAAATACACTATACATCAAATGTAATGCATATGAAATATAAAAAAAATATACGTGAATCATTAATCAATATGCATAAGATATAAGAATGCACATAAAATAGAAAGCAATTGACATAATTATAAATTAGTTCACATACAATATACTATCATATTATATAAATACATTATACATCAAATATAATGAAATAGAGATCAAATCTAAAACATTATGCATTCAATATAAAACATCATACATAAATACAACATACATCAAATATAGTCAAGTCCATATAATAAAATAGAACGCTGTATGCATAAAATATAAAACAATATACATAAATAAAACATACATCAAATATAGTAAAGTACATATCAAATATAACATTGTATACATCAAATATAAATAAATATACATAAATACAACATACATCAAACATAGTAAAGTACATATCAAATATAACATTGTATACATAAAATATAAATAAATATACATAAATACAACATACATCAAATATAGTCAAGTACATATAAAATATAACACTGTATACATAAAATATAAATAAATATAAAACATACATCAAATATAGTAAATTACATATAAAATATAACTCTATACATAAAATATAAATAAATATACATAAATACAACATACATAAAATACAGTAATTACATATAATAAAATATAACGCTGTTATACATCAAATATAAATAAATATACATAAATACAACATACATCAAATATAGTAGAGTACATATAATAGAATATAACACTGTATACATAATATATATATAAATATTCATATAATACAGCACAATAGACATGAAAACAATATACTTACATTATAAATCATAATGCATAAATGCAATATACATTACATATAATAATTATATAATGCATATAAAATATAAAACAGTTTACATGAAAAAGAAAAGAATTTTGAATAGAATATTCATAACAATATACATAAAATGAATAGATCTTTCTATACAAGCACCAAAACACCGAAAAATATATGTAATAGACACACGAAACCTTTTATNTAAAGCGCTAAATACAACATATTGATAATAGCATTAGTTCTAGTTTATAAACGAAAAAAGCATACAATCACCATTATACATTAAGCAAGAAGATAATTATCTCAATGTGCATATACATGAATAAATAGAGGGTGGTATTTTTCCTACCAATTTCCTTCCTTACCTTCTTGGTCATTCAGGGAAAACATTGTTTCCCTTCCAATGAAATTCCTTTACCTTGTGATCACTCAAGTGTGAATTTGTTTTTCCTGTCAATCTGTTTCCGACCCTTAAAATCAGTGGAACATAAAATTGTCTGATCAGCTGAGATATAAAAATATAATATAACGTTTATATTTACATTGAAAATCTATTTAAAACGTTCACGATAATGGCAAGATGCCAATGCAATGGCAAGTTATAGTTTAAATAAGATATATCTGGCCCGAATCATGAACTTAGATCAGGGAAATAAAACTGTATGTTGTTGTACGATCGTTTTTGTTTTTGGTGTGCAAGAAGGGTTTGAAGGTTCGATAATATGTTATTACGTTTGAAAATGTGGCAAACCAACCGAACCATTACCAAAGACTTATAAGTGATGTGTGGTCTTAAACATTCCACAAGCCTTTACTAAATCAAGCTTGCATCTTAAAGTGTACCCCGAACGAAAATAGAAATAAATATTTTATTATTATATATTATCCAAACACAAAAATGTCGAAAAACGAATTAAAATCGGTCATCCCGATACCGATATATCGACGTGTATTAATATGAATAATCGTCGCGGTGGTTTGGCCACAATCGGCTGTGACGTCACAAGTTCAACCCCTGTAGCGGTCACCATCGAAGGAATAGGCGATATCGAGAACAGCCATGGTCATACAGCGTCAGATTGCGAACTCATGTTTCTTTTTTAGTTTTGAGGAATCAGATTATGCTGAAGATAACATTATGTAAATGGTATCAAGTCATATACAATTTGCCAGAATTTCCAGACAGTGAGTTTAATTGAAACCAAAGTGACGACTCTGAATACGGTAACATAGACTGGTAGCATTGCATGTCCTGATTATGAGCGCTGATGATATTTTGTTTTTCTCGAATGAACGAGTTTGAGGGAAATTAAACAGAAATAGTCTCAATGTTGTCGATCAAAGATATTTTTAATGGAAAGTCAGTTTTCAATGAGTTTACTTCATGTCTCTGCTCTACAGTAAAAACCTAAACAATCATGTCGTCATTGAACAGCACAACTTCCGTTCGTGACCAGTCCTTAAAAGTCATATACTGTGTTACCTCTATACGGTCCAAAAAAATGTACATAAAATTATATCAATATCCAGCGAAAGTTAATCGACTAATGAGACACTAAAAAGACAAAAAATGAATTATGAGATTAAAACATTTTTGTTTCTCCCTATAAATGTAGCATACACAACGTCGTTATAATTAAACACCTTGGTTAAATGATGAAAATCATCTCGATCCACTCCCTTAGCGTACTAAGGTGTGAAATTTGTGTACAGGTAAATAACACTAAACGCCTGTGTCCAGTATACAGTAACTCAACATAGCCGCACCGGAAAAAGAAGCCAGAATACAGCCACCAGAGATAATACTACATTCATAATATAAACATGATCATTTACGCCTGCTGATGACTATTTTCGTTTTGTATATTATAATAGTTACCTTGTTTAGGGATATCAATAATGTAAGGATCACTTTTAATAGAGCAGGTAAATATGATAGACTATTACTTAATAACACAATCTTTAAACGTCCTAGTAGTTAAAACACTGATAACTATTTGCCAATAGCCAGAAATGATCACTATGGACAGCCAAAAATAACTATTAATTTACAAGAAGCGGAGAGAGGTAAACGGTATTGGAAAATGAACACAAAAACTATAAATTATAGCCATTTCAGGGACAACTTTAAGACTTTCTGGGAAAACATGTAAA